TATAAATTTAAAGCGAATATCTACAGTGTCTGTTAGGTGCAGGCCAGATGATTTTGCTGAAAAAATGTTTTCACTTAGTTTTTCAAAGATGAAACTTTCCCCTTTGCTTCATTATGTATCAAAAATTATGAGAGGGCATAGTAGCAGGGGCACTCAGATAAATGGAAGTAGTAGTAAAATAAAATCTACTAAAATAATTCAGTATTTCAACAAAGTTTAAAAAACAGAAAGAACACTCACATGTGCCAGTATTTTTCAGTACAGCGGGGAACAGTTCATCTGATCTCAGTAACATGAACTTGTCAATGGCAGATAGGTGCTCTCTAATCATCATTAAGATAACTCAAGAAATTATTAACTTATTCTGCTTTTGGCAGAACAAGAAAGCTACAAAAGTTGCCTAGATAACTGAAATCCCTATCACAATTATATCATGCTGACCTTTCAAGCTTGTGATATGTTTCCTAAACTCCTCTTTTTCCTCTTTCTGTCCAGGTCTATAGTATACTCCATCCAGTTCCAATATTACTTCTTTTTCTTCATCAAAACGCTCTCCTGGATTTCCTCACATAAGAAGATCTTATCATATAATATCCCCTACTCCCTCCTTCTATCTATGCTATTCCTTTCAAATAAACTATGTCATCATTCCAGACCACAATCCAATCATGGATCCCATCCTACTAAGTTTCAATTAAGATCTCTAACACATTGCTTGCTATTCATACTTTGTATACCTTTGTCTAGGCCATGCTAACTATTGCTAGCTCTCTTGTCCTTGTATCCTGTGAATTTCTGGGCATCTCCATTGCCATTCTTTTTTCCTAAGTTACAGCTTCACGCTATGACATCCTATTGAAGGGGATTTTCTCCCTTTTCCTTTTAAAGTTTAAGGTCCTTTTTATTAGATTTGCAAGATTCCAAAGTAAACATAGCTTTACTAGGCCTATTAGGTGAACTCCATCTCTGCTCCAGAGAGCTCTCACTCCTAAATTTTAAGCCAGATACAGTCCAAAAATGGACCAGAAATCAACCATATTCTTAATCTGCTAAGCTGACTTCTATTTCCCATTTGCCATTTTAATTATGACACAGCATACTCTTTTGGGGCTTCTCCTTGTTCTCAGAGAACAGGTAGAGCAAAGGAGAAACAGTATCTAAGATCACAGATTTTGGAAGGGGAAGGAATTGTCTAGACCAGTCTCTTCATTTTGCAGATGAGGAAAATGAAACCCAGAGAGGTTATGTAAATTGTCTATGGTCATACCTGACCATAGGTCAGCAGCTACCTGAGGCAGAATAAGGACCCAGGTCTTCTTGACTCCAAGTTCAGCATTCTTTCCCCTATACCTTCTCTCCTTTCCACCAAACCCACTCCAACACATCAGACTTTGCTTTTCTAACCAAGTAAAAGGTACCATAATCTATGGCTGAAGATGGAAAAGCTCAAAATAACAGCTCAATACAGCTCAATAAAATAGAGGTAAACCCATGCCATTCAAATAAAGGAAATTGTACACCCTAGAATACTGGTCATAACATGAAGTCAAATGTACATAGTGTGCCACAGCCATATGCATTTAGGGGCATTAAATGTTTATTTTAAATCATTTATTTTAAATTAAGAATTCTATTAACCTCCAAAAAACTGTGCTTTCAAAGATGAAAAATATAATTGATGAAAGCACAAACTGCAAAATATAAGCTATATAACTAAACACAGATTTTCTTTCCTGCTCCTATTACAGCAGTAAAGAACAGCAGCTAGTAATAGGTTTTTAAAAAATTAGTGGCAGGAAACAGAAAATTTATCTTAAAAAATAAAATTAGAACTTCTTCTCTCTACCACATAGACTGTAAGTACTTAAAGAATAAAAAATCCAGCTCTTCTCCTTCTTTTTCATCTTCCTATAGTATACATAGTGTTTCACATCATCTGTACTAAGATCACCTACCATACTGGATTTTGTTGCTCGTTAATCTTTGTCACAAGGGAGAATGTCATAGAGATAGAGGAAATTGTCCCTCTCTTAAATCCTCTCCCTCCTGAGTGTTGTACAAAGATAAAATGCATCAATAAAATTATTTTAAGTAAGTCAGTAGTGCTAAAATAAACAATTAGTGCCCCTAAATGCCTATGGTCATGGCACAGTATGTACATTTAACTTCATGTTATGACCAGAATGTATGATTTCCTTTACGTGAGGGGCATGGGGTACTTCTATTTTATTGAGCTGCAGGTTTAATTCACATAAATTTATGAAGAACAGTGAGGTAGGGAATGACAGGAGTTAGAAATACCAAAAGTAAAAGAAATGGGTTTCTAAAGTAATCTAAGAACATTCATTTCTCCCTAAAAAGATTTTTTCCTCTATAGTACCCCATAGCTGCAAAGTGTTTCACTAAGTAAAAGAAAAAGTTTATTACATGCTTGAAATTTTAAAAACCAAAATTTAGTCCCTCAAATACATTCATGAATAAATTGCTGTGTATTCCACCAATATTTAAGAAGTATCCAGCATGTTTAAGGTATTACCCCAGGTATTGTTGGGGGATATAAAGTTGAATAAGACATGGTCTCTATCCTTAAGAATCTTACATCTAGTAAAAGAAGTTCCTACTGTGCGTAATGCACTGGGATAAGCACCGGGGAATAGGTGGCTCAGAAAAGCTGTGACCTACATTCTCATGGAGCTCACTACTTCCTGGCACATAAACACTCACAGCACAAAGCAGAATATGACAAGTACCAAGAGACAGTCACCCCATGATTTGTTGTTCAAAAATAGGTTATGTCAAATAATTCTGCAGAAAGGAACAGTTTTGCAAGTGGATGATACCTTCCCAAGCAAGAAATGGCTCTAAGGGAGACAAGCTGATTCTGAGTGGCTCATGTACCAGGTAGAGCTCAGCAGAGCTGAGATGGCCAGGGTGCGTGGGATGCTGGGCAAACTGGAGAGAGGAAGATAGATGCCAGAAGTAAAGCTGAGTAGAATGGTTCCAGGTAGAGTTGGTCCAATCTCGGCAGACTGGCCAAAGAAAGTTGGGCTTTGTAGTATTAAGATAGGATTTGGTAATCTTATTAATAATGGTACATTGTGTAGGGCAACATTACACAGTGTATAGCTATTTAAAATAATACATAGCTGCTATCTTTGAGAAAGTAAAGTACAGAGTTATTAATGTAATGGATACAGCTACCCACACTAACGATAAATACACGAGCCTAAACACATATAAACACAAAGACTGTCTATACATAATCCTCGACCTTCTTCAATAATCCATAATCCTACCTTCCTTGTTACTGTAAAGGGCAACACCACCCTCCCAGTGCCTTGGGCTCACAACCTAGGAGTCATTCCAAATTCCTCTTTAAAGATCTCTCACCTCCCACATCCAAGCTGTTGCCAAGGCCTATTGATTTCACCTTTGCAGCATCTCTCAAGTATGCCTCCTTCTTTCTTCTCACATTGCCACCACTCTTGTGCAGGCTTTCATCAGCTCACACATGGACTACTGCAATAGCCTGCTGGAGGGTATGCCTGTCTCAAGTCTCCCCTCTCCAATCCATCCTCCCTTCAGCTACCAAAGTGATTTTCCTAAAGCCCAGGTCAGGTCTGACCATCTCATCCCTCTACTCAATAAACTCCAGTGACTCCCTATCCCCTCCATGAGTAAAAACAAAATGCTCTGCTTCCCATTCAGACCCGTTCATAACAAGTCCCGTCCTACCTTTCCAGTCTTCTTACACCGTATTACCCAACATGTCCTCTTATATCCAGTGATATAGGCCTCCTGGCTGTTCTGTCAACAAGACTCTCCATTTCTTGGCTCTGAACATTTTCTCTGGCTGTCCCCTATGCCTGGAACACTCCCTCTTCATCTCTACCTACTGGCTTCCTTGAGTCCCACCTTTAATAGGAAGCCTTTATCAATCTCTCTTAATTCCAGTGCTTTCTTTCTCGTTTCCTATTTATCCTGTATAGTTTGTACATATTTGTCTGTTTGTTGTCTCCTATTAGACTGTAAGCTCTTTGAAGGCAGGGGTTGTCTTTGACCTCTTTTTTTGTATCTCAGCATTTAGCACAGCTCAGCACATAGTAAGTGATTAATAAATGTCTGTTGACTGTTATCTTTTTTAAAAATGGGACCTAATTGTTTCACTATAGACTTCTGCTTCTGATGAAACCTTTGGTAATCCATACATAATATACCACTATAAAACCATATAATCAGCCCAATAAATATGTCTGTTTTGCTCTAAAACTGTGTTGTCAAGCAACCTATATTTCTGAAGCAGTCTGTCATATATGGTAGACTATGATTCTGTTTTCATTGATTTCATCTCATGAATTGGTCTTACTTAAGAAATACTTTAATCATAAGAAATCTATCCTTCCTAAATCTTACAGTTAACAAGTTATTTTGACTTTAATCCTCTGGTCCAATATGACAAAGCACTATGGTAGCAGTATTCCTTATAAACCATCATTAATCACAAACACTTTACAACTGCTTTTAAGATGACCCTGATATATCTGAAAAATATCAATCAGTTGTGCTTTACACCAAGGTTAGTGCCCGCCACCAAGGCATGATGAGAGAAACTAAATAATGTCACAAGCCAGAGACAGTTGTACAAGCTGAATATTTTCATAGGGCTGGGAAAAGTGGGGGAAAACCATTCTTTTTTCCCAGAAGTATTTAAATCTGATTTTTTGAGGATTTCTCTAATTCCAAGAATGGGTTGTCCTTCAAAGAGACTGTCAGCTATATTTAATTTATGCAATGGTTTAAAAACCTATACAATTAAAACCATAAAACTATCAAGTTCAACTGCAGTAAGTTATATGTGAAATCAAATTTACATTTTCCGTATTAACATTTCCTCTATCAACTGCAGGAAGAGGGAAGATCTAGCAAGAATTTTATTTGTAAAAAAATTCAAAGTGTTCCACAAGCTGATATGCAAACCTGTCACAATACCAGGGATTTACCTTGTGGTTCTTGGCTGTGTCAGTGATAGCTTCCTGAGCACCCTGTTCCTGGAATTCTGATGTTTTAAGTTCAATCTTCATATCATTCTCTGACTCTGAATTCTGCCACGCAGCATTCCATAGTTCTTCAGCAGCAGAACACCATCCCTACATGGAAAAAAGTAATTGTAGGCAAAATAAGGTCAAGTATCAGCTTAATCAGGAAGGTGAATATCTTTTAAGTAAAAAACAAACAAAAAAGCTGTATATCTTAAGTAAAATAATAAATTGTCATGACAGGCATAGAAAACCCAGCTTATGATAGGAAGTTATTTCTCCTTTCTGACAGCTATGCTACCCATTACTCCAATCCTTAGAATGTTATATTCAAATTGATTAAAAACTCCCAACCTTGCTAAAAATCACTTAAGAGAAAATTCAGCAATTTGATTGTAACTCCCTAGATACAAATATATCAACATTTCCTGGTTCAAATACAACTCATTTCTATTGAGTTTGTTTACAGGTTCAAGCCAGCTAACTGAAATACTTGAATCACAGAAGAGTGAATGCAACTCTTGAAACAGATTTTTTCAATTTTATGTAACTTTTATAGTTTGACTATCATTATCAGCTGTCTCATAAAGGGCAAAAAAAAAAAAAAAATGGAGGTCTTTTAAGGACTTTTCTCCATGGCTATATACCAGAGAGAAATTTAAAAAAAAAACTTCTAAAAAGAAAAATAGGCTAAATGTCTGTAAATATTTGCAACAGACAGGACAACGGAAAGTAGTAAAAAATGAAATCACTTTATAAGGTACCTGTAATCTAAACAAAGGTCTTCTTAATGCAAATAAGCCCACAATAATCCCCACTCACTCCACCACCAGTTTTTTTATTTTAATTTTTAAAAATTGATTGTTAAATATTTCAGTTACATGTTAAAAGTATTTTCACATTAACTCTTAAAAATTTTGAATTCCAAGTTCTCTCCCCCCCCCTTTTGGGAAGGCAAACAATTTGATATGTATAACACATCTCAAGTCATGTAAAACATATTTCCATATCAATCATGTTGAAAAAGAAAACACAAACAAAATCAAATGAAGAAAATGAAAAAAAGTATGCTTCACTCCGAATTCAAAGTTCATTAGTTCTCTCTCCGGAAGTGGAAAGCATCTTTCATCATGGGTCTTTTAGATTTATTTTAGTTCACTGTCTCGATCAGGATAGCTGTCTTTCAGAGTTGATCTTTCTTACGGTATTGCTGTTACTGGGTATAATGTTCTACTGGTTCTGCTCACTTTACTTTGCATGAGTTTATATAAATCTTCCCAGGTTCTTCTGAAACTATCCTGCTTGTCATTTCTTAATATCACAACAGTATCCCATCATAATTATATACCACAACTTATTCAACCATAACCCAACTGATGCACATCCCCTCAATCTCCAAAGCAAAAATTTTAAAATAAAAAAACTAGCAAGGAGATTATAGCAATATATTACAGAGATCATATACACTATGACCAGGTAAGATTTATACCAGAATTCAGGGCTGGTTCAATATTAGAAAAACTATCAGCATAACTGACCACATCAACAACAATAACAACCAAAAATATATGCTTATCTCAACAGATGCAAAAAAAACCTTTGACAAAATACAGTACCCATTCCTATTAAAAACATTAGAAAGAATAGGAACAAATGGAGCCTTTCTTAAAATAAGCAGTATCTATCTAAAACCAAGAACAAGCATTATCTGTAATAGGGATAAACTTGAAGCCTTCCTAATAATCAAGGGTGAAACAAGTACGTCCATTACTACCACTATTATTTAATACTGTACTAGAATTGCTAGCTATAGCAATAAAAGAAAAAAAATCAAAGCAATTAGAATAGGCAATGAGGAAACAATACTCACTCTTTGCGGATGGTATGATTGGCATACTTAGAAAATCCTAGAGAATCAACTAAAAAACTAGTTGAAACAATTAACAACTTCAGCAAAGTTGCAGGACATAAAATAAACCCATATAAATCATCAGTATTTCTATATACTACAAACAAAACCTCGCAGCCAGATAGGAAAAGAAATTCCATTTAAAATAACGGAAGACAACATAAAATACTTGGGGAGTCTCCATGCTAAGACAAACCCAGAGATTATATAAACACGATTACAAAACATTTTTCACAGAAATAAAGACAGATCTAAATAATTAGTTAAATGTTATTTGCTCATGGGTAGGCCGAGCCAATAAAATAAAAATCACAATTCTACCTAAATTAGTTTACTTACTCAGTACCATGTCAATCAAACAACCAAAGAATTATTTTATAGAGCTAGAAAAAATAATAAAATTCATTTGAAAGAACCAAAGGTCAAGAACATTAAAGGGAATCAACTAAAATAAAAGTGAAGCAAAGTGGCCTAGCAGTTCCAGATTTCAAATTCTATCACAAAGTAGTAATCAAAACAATCTGGCACTGGCTAAGAAATAGGGTGGTCGATCAGTGGAACAGATTCACACAGTAGTAAATAACTGTAGTAATCTAGGGTTTGATAACCCCAAAGATCCAAGGTTTTGGGGTAAAGAACTCACCATCTTGACAAAAATTTCTGGGAAATCTAGAAAGCAGTTTAGCAGAAAGCAGGCATAGATCAACATCCCACATCATATACTAAGTTACTGTTAAAATGGATAAATGATTTAGTCATAAAGGGTGATACCATAAGTAAATTAGGGGAGCACAAAAAAATGTACCTGTCATATCTATGGATTAAGGGAAGAATTTATGACCAAAAAAGACAGGAGGGGATCATGGGAAGTGAAATAGATAATTTTGATTACATGAACTTAAAAAGCTTTTTCACAAACAAAATTAATGCAGCCAAAATTAGAAGGAAAACAGGAAACTGGGGGAAAAAATTCACAGTGAGTTTCTCTAATCAAGGCCCCATTTCTCAAATATATAGGGAACTGAACCAAATTTATAAAAATAAGAGCCACTTCCCAGTCAATAAATGGTCAAAGTATATGAACAGGCAGTTTTCAGGAGAAGAAATCAAAGCTATCAATAGTCATATGAAAAAGTGCTCTAAATCACTACTGGTTAGAGAAATGCAAATTAAAAGAACTCTGAGAGCACCTCATACATATCAGATTAGCTAACAAGAAACAAAAAAAAAATGACAAAGGCTGCAGAAAATGTGGAAAAACCGAGACACTAATTCACTTTCTGGTAGAACTGTGAACTAGTCCAACTATTCTGGAGAACAACTTGGAACTACGCCCAAAAGTCTGTAAAACTCCGCATACCCTTTGCCCAGCAATACCACTACTAGGTCTGTAACCCAAAAAGATCAAAGTAAAAAAGAAAAAGGATCTATTTGTACAAAAATATTTATTGCTGACATAAATCGAATTCATTACAGGGTCTTCTGAATTTAGATTGATAAGTATATGTGAATCCTATGATCTACAAGACCTCATGATTAAATTTAAATAGCTATCTCTCTGTAGAGATGTTTCCTTTCCTCCTGAAGTTCTAACCTTCTGCAGTGATTCTTTGCATGGCTGACACTGCTTCCTTCCATCAAGTCCTGATGTAAATAAAAGTGAGGCATTCCCATTTCTCTTCTCTCTGTCAGTCTGCAGAGGCAACCAGTTTTCATCCCAAACATCATCACCTATAGACACTGATTCAAGGTACGGCATCTCAATAGGATACTCTAGCTGAAAAGGAATTAAAGAGAAAGAAATAAAAACCGACTACGATTTACTTTTCCTTTTAAGTCCCACTTAAGTCTGTATTGTTTCAAGACTTTCTTAATCACCATTTTTTGTTTCATTTTGTTTAACTTTAACCAAAAGCTGTGCATAAGCCTTTCCATAAGGCACCAAGGAATACAGCAGGGTTGTATCATACTAACTCATCTTGATTCTCCTAAACCAGTTCTAAAGATTCAGTAATTCATGCTACTGGGGGTTATCCTGAGATATTATAAGTAATCACTTTACACAGTTGTTTCTCATTTTATTCCCCTTCAACTAACACTGTATTAAACTGTTCCGTTTCTTTAAAAACTCCCTTTGTCTCCAACCTTTTTTTTTTCCAGTTCTGTGAGGTCTGGATAGATACCTCTTGGTTTTCTTTACAATCCTCATCTTGGGCTTCTGATGAAACTATGTCTGAACCCAGAAATGGCAGCTCAGCTTCAGGTTCCAGGTGGTTGACAGACTTTGGGTCACCAATACTTCTCTAGCAGACATGAAAGAAAAGCAATTTCATATTTTTTCCATACCTGCTCACCCCACGGGCCACATTTATTTTAAAAAATATGAAATAAGATAAAATAAGAAGCCCACAGAATGCCCCAAACTGGAAAACTACTGCAGTGGAACAAATACTGTTTTTTCTTACTTTAATCTCTGCCATCAGCTACAATAAATCAACATGGACTGGGAACTATAAATTGTTATCAGGTGAATCTCTAAATGAATCAAAGGTGGAGAGAGAAATCATATTCATCCATATCTTAGATATAGTTTATAGCAAACTTGAAATTTTGGAAGGGAAGTTGAGACACAACAAAGAAGACATGCTTCTGAACCACATCATTTTACTTGCTGCGCTAGGAGTCACAGAATTAGGCACTGCTAATTTTATATACACATAGATATATATACACACATATAAAAGTTTTTTAAAACTATATGTAAAGGAAGTTTACAGTCTCATACAACATAAATACATATACATGTATATACAAATTCATATGTGCATATATATTCACATATATTACTACAGGTAACAGAATATAGTCTTGTATAATTATCTTCTCTTTCTTTATATCCTTTAATTCACAGTAATAAAAGAAACTGTTTTTTAAAAAGGAATAAAATAAATTAGACACTGATGCCTTATATTCACATCAATAGAAATGATAACATCAATTTTGTGCAATTTTACGGCTGTTAAAACTATGAGGCAAAGAAATAAAGTCCTTCTGATTCAATATTAAAGCAACAAAGCTAAACAATTCAGTTTTCAGAAAACATAAGAGCCCAAACATTAATTCTGACAGAAAATCGAAATAAAAAAATTAAAATTTGCTTTCAGAAAATGTGGAGGTAAATTTTCATATAAATGCCAATTTAAAGTTTTTCAAAGCATGTGGTCAAAATAGCCCTTTTCTTTTTCTTTCTACCAATCAATAAAGTTAATTACACAGATAATCTACATTATTCTCTTTAAAAAAAAACACCAAAAGTTACAAGTATTTTGTCAGCACATGCAGATATTTTTATGATACATTCAAAGAGGGAAAAAAAAGCCTTGCAAAGGTTCAAAAAATATATTTTGGACCACAAAATTAGATAAACAATTGTAAAGCCAGCACTGAAAGGGTTTTAAACTAAGGCTCACAAGTGATTTCCTTAGGTCACAAAGTTATTTAAGTTACAGAATTGGAACTAAAACCTAGGTCTCCTAACTCTCAGTACAGTACATACTATTCTACTTTGGTAGCAAGACTTTCTTGTGTGGAATGAGAATGGGAGTAAGGTTTACTTACTTAAGCTTACAGGGAGTAATCTCTAGTTTGTATAATAGATACTATGACTACAGTAACTATAAAAGAAAAGAGTACTGGGTAGAAACCACTAGAGCCTAAGGTTTTCTGAAAAAGTGATGTGAGCTGGATCTCAGAGGAAGCATAATATTGAACTGGTGGAAGAGAAAAAAAAGAATTTTGCAAAGGTAAGGGGGAGAGCAGGATCGTGAATGAAGACAGTAGCTACACTAGAACAAAAGGTTCATGTAGATGTGTTGTTTGAAATAAGGTATTTTTTTTTTTAAAGCTTCCTACCGGAGGTACAAATTCATTTTCTGGGCTTGTTATTTCTTGGTCTTCATTAAAATAATGCTGATGGGAAGGAAGATCCAGTTCTGTCAAACCAGGTTCTTCAGGCCTTGGACTGCATTTCGTGTACAAGGCTAAGGGGTTGAGCTCTCTGAAACCCTAGGATTTAAACACAAAGAAACACTAAATTAGTCAAGTAAACAAATTACAATTCAAGTAGAAAAATAAATTTAATAGACCTCATACTTTTCAAGCTACAGAATATTGGGCTACTAGAATCTCTTTGCTGATTTAAGGGATTTCTCAATGGCATAATTTCCTAACTATTAATTTAAATGCCAATTTAAAATCAACTCTTAAGAAATAGGAAGTTATAGATTAGAGAGTAAAATTAGCATGAGAAACAACACATTAAGTCAAGTTTTTTACTTCAGGTCACAATATCTGAGGTCCATGGGAAGGGAATAAATATTTATATAGCTCCTACTATGTGCCAGGCACTGTGCTAAGAGATTAACAAATATCATCTCAGTGATCCCTCCAACAACCCAAGGAGATACATGCTGTTAACAGCCACATTTTACAGTTGAAGAAACTGAGACAAACAGAGGTGAAGTGACCTGCCCCAGAGTTATGCAGCTAATGTCTATGGCTGGATTTGAATTCAAGTCTTCCTGACTTCAGGCCCAGTGCTGTATCCATTCCATCCACTGTGCCACCTAGATTGTCATTAGTTGAAAATCTGCACTTAAGCAAGGCAGAAATTTCACTGCTGCATCTAAGGTAAAGTTTACAAAGTAACCTTCTGGATTGAGTCTTTTAATTACTCTGCAATATAAAACATAGCCAGAACTGTCTACCTTAGATGGGACATTTTCTCGGCAGACAATGGCATGGCCTTCTGCTCTCAGGACATGATGGAAATAGATGTCTTCGTTTGACGATGTGTCGCACAGAAAGAGATTGAGGACTCCATCAACATATTCATCCACTACTCCCACCAATGGCTTCAAGCCACACAGCTTCTGGAACTGCAAAATTGCTTGAGGTGTCCAATGCTCCTGAAACAGAGTCGACCAGTGAGATTAGCCACAAAGGATTTATGGGTGTCACTGTGCATTTCCTTCCATTTGTCTAGATATGGGTAAGAAAAACATACGCAAAAAATTCATTACCAAGTGAAACTGTGCCTGTAGCCACTGTCTCGTGACTTTAGAGTCACGTTAATTATGCTCTTCCTTCCATAAACAAAAGATTGCACTACTCTCACTAGGTCATCAACACAAATAGATGAATTCAGCAGGTAATTCATACCAAACTAAGGCTAATTCATAAGTAAAAATAGTTCCTTAAAAGGACAACAAACATTTATTAGGAAAAAATCCTTTATTAAGTGTTTATGATGTTCCAGACAATGAAACTGAACACTGCAATACAACAGAAAGAACTAAATCGGGAGTCAGGAGACTTGCTTTAGGTCTGTTCCTGTCACTAAGAAGCTGCTGACATTGGACAAGTCACTGAACCTCTAGCGTTTAATTTATCTATAAAAGAATTTTGGCCCACATGATCCAACTTCCTTTTCGGTAGATTCTTATTCATTAAAGCAGATTCAAGGCCTAACCTTATTGATCTAGTTTTAATTTCTTCTATTTTGCTTTAAATTCTGACTTTTTAAAAAATTAGTTTTAGACATCTTCTGTGAGAAAGTGAGCCCTGATTAGTCTAAGCAAGTTTTACTGTTCTTAAAATGAAGAATTTTACAATGTTAAAATTATGTACATACACATACCTCTATGGGTCTCACCCAAGCCAGGGAACAAGGAATGGCCTGAGCAGGAAGCTTGATGTAGCAGCACCTATAAAAGAAATCCAAATTCTTGACCGCTTCACACACTTTTAAACAATTTATATTCTTAGCTTTGTATAGTTAATAAGGTTGATCACAACATCCCCCAAAAAGTGAATCCAATGGGAGCTAATCTCATAATCCATTCAATAAAGGAGAATTAGAGACACAAAGGCAAGTGGGCAGATAGACCCTGCTGGCAATACATCTATGAAACGTCGCAACAATGCTTTATCTAAAGTGTGGTCCAGGTAAAGAAATGTAGGGGATCTAGTTTATAAGAACCCACAGAGGATGTGTTTCCAGGCCTGTCTGGTCTGGACATTCTAATACCAAAACTCATCTTGTCAGATCTGTTAACTTACTTGAGAAACCTCAGAGAGGACTTCTGAACAGTTCCCAAATTTCCAAAATCTGGGTAGAACACCTCAACTTCTTGCTTCCCAAGAACTCGATGAATAATGACTCGGTACCACCACTTATCCTCAGAAATCCTTACACAACAGAGATGGCCAGGTTGGATAAAAGATTCTGGCATAATATAGCGATCAGATACCAGTTGATTGGAATAGCAACGCCTGCAAAATTCCAAAAGAAACAAACAGCGATCAGGAAAGAAAGCAGAAACAATTTGTGTTATATGTTTCACGAGAAGGGAAACCCAGGCAGATAATGAAGGAGGGTGTCCTGTAGTTTCCCCAAGTTGTTTTCTTTAGGGACAGGGATGAGACCTCTAATTTCACTGGCACAGCAATAAACTCCTGCCAACGCTGGTTACCACCTTCTCTGAAAGTCGTAACTTAAGAGACATGGAGTTGCCTAGAGCACTTAGTATTAGAGATAGGACTCAAATCCAGCTCTTCCTAGTTTCAAGGCCAACTCTATCCACTATCTCTTATTTTCTTTATTAATCCCAAATGATTTTCTTTCTTCTACTCTTAGACAAATGTTTTTCTTCTTCAGAATTCTCTCCCCTAATTAAAAAACAAAAGCTACCACAAACTTTTTTTTCAATCCAAACCTGTGATTTTAGAGAGGCAGTACAGTATAATAAATGGAGAGCTGACTTTTAAGCCAGAAGGATCTAGGTTCAAGTCCTACATTTGCCCCGAACCATCTCTGGGCAAGTTACTTAACCTCTCTGAGCCTGAGGCACCTCTTAGACTTTAAGGTAAAAAGCACTGATATGCTTTGGTAAAGAAAATTTCCTTACTGAAGGCTCCCTACACTGACTAACAAGAAGTAAGGCAGTATCACAGGCAGAGGATTCATTCAACATCAATTTACTGAATGCCTACTTTATTGACTAGCACTGTGGGAATATAAAAAGTATAACATTAGTAAATAAATAAACAACATATAGTTCTAGAGATATTTTCATGTAGAATATAAATTTTTTAAGATAAAAATTTAACAGAGAAAAGTATTTTTTAAAAAAGCATCCAGAGAAAAAGATTATCATCATGCCGTGCTTGGTCTTGGACCAGATTTGAAATAATATGCATAGTTCTGGCTTTCAAATTTTAGGAGAGACACTCACAAATATTTACAGAAGAGAGTGACAAAAATTGGGAGTGGATTCAAAACACTGCATAAAAGGATCAGATGAACTGAACACATATGCTTATCCTAGAAAAGCAAAGAGTAACATGATCACAATCTCCAAAGATACAATGAGTTCTCACGTGGAAGAAAGATGAGATTTATTGTGCTTAACCCTACAGAACAGAAGCAGGACCAAGAAGTAGAAGTTACAGGGAGATATTCTGGCTCAAAATAACGAATTTCCTAGTATTAGAGCTGACTCAAAATGGCACGGAATACCAAGTAGGTAATGATTTTTTATTCTTGGATGTGGTATTTAGTTAAATAGAAAAACATTAATATTTTATGATTCTATGAACTGTGAACAAACATTTATTAAATACCTATAATGTGCCAGGCACTGTGTAAACACTTTACAAATATTATCTCTTTTGATTCTCACAACAATCCCTTGAGAAAGGAGCTATTATGGTTTCTTTCTTATAGATGAAGAAACTGAGGCAAACAGAGGTTAGGTTAACTTGCCCAGAGTCACACAACCAATACGTATATGAAGTTGAATTTGAATTCAGGTCTTCCTGACTCCAGGTCCAGTGTTCCATCCACTGTATGGCACCTAGCTGCCTCATTATTACTATATATGGTATATTATCATATCTGAAAATAACCTCAAAAAACATTAGAGTATATATCAGAAAAACATTAAATGAAAACTGAGCAAAAATTTGCAGTAGAATTTAGTAGCGAAGGATTTGGATACTAAACAGAAACAATTTCAAGTCAAAAAAAAAAATTCAGGCAAGCAACCTGTGCCTTACCTCATTTCAATCATCATATCCTCAAGTAACTCTGATGAATCTCTGCTATAGATTCGGATATAAAACTGACTAGGAGAGATTATATACTCTACAAAGACCCCTACTAGGGTACTGCTATCTAATGGTGGAAGGCTGCAGAGTTTTCTGTTCTGCACAGCATCTGGTGGGATCTCATATCCTGACATCTCCAGGTTGAGCTGTGATTGTTTCATTCCCATATGCTGTAAGCAATATAAACATGAAGAGTATCATTTTAAATGCTGTGGCGCAATCATGAGCTAAGCAAAGCAACGGATAAAGCAATGGATACATCAGAAAAATTACATTCTACTTCTCATAATAACTGCCCTAAGATAAATCCTCCTCCAACCCCACAATGGGTGAGTTCCTTAGCAACAGCCACTGTCAGACTACTCCACAGCACAACCAATGTGAGAAAGAAGTTTTCAAACTCTTTTTCAGAAACACCACACTCTTCTGCAGGAACCCTCATTTCCTCCAGGCCCATCCCACACCACCCTCACCACCAAGGACTATCTACTAAAAAGCCATAGTGCAATTTCCAGAATGCTCCATGTTTTAGATCCCTTCCAAGAAAGGAAAAGGGTACAAAGGGTCAATGGGGGATGAAGGAAAGAGGGAGTGCAGCAGTAACCTAGAGATTAGGGCTATGTTCTGGAGTTTGCTGTTGAGGCCTGATGCCATAAAAGCAAAAATAGCTATTTGGGGTACCTTGACTCTTTTTTCACGATACCCCAAAATTTCTGACACAAATTTTGACTGACAGCGGTGGTTAAATCAAACACAAAATGATAAGAAAGCTGTCAAGTTGTCCTTAGCCATAACTGAAAACTACAACACGCCAACAGGAAAAGCCAGCAACAATGGCAGGCATTCCATTTAGAAACTTTAGACCAACAAAATATAATGTTCAGAAAGAAAAGTTGCCTTTGGAAACAAATCTTCATAAAAAGGATATTTTAGTTCAATCTAACTCATTCAAGTCACCATCCACATTACTTCTACAGATCTAAAAATCAAAGTTATTAAATTCCACTCACCAGGGGCATAGGCTTTGTGACCAGGCTGAATTTCCTGCAGACCTTCTCTTCTACATTTCTATGATTTTCCAGAGAATTATTCCAGGCAGTGTCCTTAACATCTGGAGATGACAGGTAATTTCTGGGGGGACTGGAGATATTGGCTTTGCCTTCTATTTTCTTATCTAATTGGACCAAACATTCATCATTGAAAGGTAAAATAGTCACATCTTAAATAACCACAGTTAGAATGTACTATGCACATAAGACTGTACTACACAGCTTTGATTTCCAATTTATTCATTTCTTTTCAACTCAGGTAATTGCTTTTATGGGATGGGCTAACTTCCCACAGATGGAATAGCCTCATAATATCTCAATAATAATGCCTGAATTCTTCTCAGGACATTGCTCAACTAATTTCACACAACAAGATGCTCATTTGACGAGATACTACTCCCTACAAGAAAATGTAATACTAAGAGATTTATCAGAACATTCTCAAGATGTACTTTGAAACCTTGTACCTTTACATTATTCCCTGATAATCTCTCATTTCAGAACCATTTAAAAAACCCAGACCAAAGGGCAGTAAGATCCCAAAAAGAACAATTTCAGACTTTTAGTGGGTACAGAATAAAACAGATAAAATCTATTATGACAAATAACATTAAAATATTTACAAATATTGTTGATATTTCCATGTCTTGGCAAATGCTCCATAGTAACAGCACTTGGCTAACATGACAAAAGCTACTTTTAAATAAATAATTCAACACTATAAATGCTCTCTCTGCTTCATGCCCACAAAAGTGCCTGGTTTTGTATTGTTTGCATCTCAGGTAAGAAAAAGGTAGAAGAACTGAGCTGTAACTGAGTTCTTTATAGCTCTTTGGTCCTTAGATGAAGCAGCAATTACTCATCAACCCTCTTCAATCTCCTTATACCCTTAACATCAGAAACACTTCTTGCTCCCAAAACCTTCCCTAAATAAACCATCACCACACAAAAGGATATAAAAGTTTAAGTGTAATAAAGGAGTTTTATTCTTTAAAAAATACATGACAAAATTGAAGCATCTATGGAATTAGCTATAAGTAGAATTTTATCAGTAAGGTATATTCTTTCGGCTAATTCTGGGGCTTAGTTTTCTTGAAGCTAAGTTAAATTCTGGCTCTACTCTGGAAGTAAGTCATTTCAACTAAGTGTCAGTTTCCTCACCTGCTTAAAAAAAAAGGCAGGGTGGGGTGGGGTGGGGGTGGGCTTTGTCTAAACATATCTCTCTCTCCCTCCTGGTTCAGATATTTAGGGTTTTTATCACCTTGAATCAAAGAGCTCTAGAACTATCAAAGCTGTTCTTTATACAAACACTGAAATTCAATAAAATAACCCTTTAAAATAGCTGGGTTTGTTACTGTGTTAGAAGAAGTATGTAAATAGGAAGTGTTATATATATTAAATTCCAAAATGAAATTAAATGGCACAAGTTACAGATATAAGTGTATAGCACTAGCCTACTCCATTCACTTAATTTTCTTAAAAAGCATTATACACTTTTAGAGAAAAGCAGAAAAAGATCATCTGACACATATATAGAAGGTGAAGCTGCCTGACTACAAGAGCAGGATGTTGATTTATTTTTGCTTAACTGTATTTCTTTACCAGTGACAGTTCTTTTTTGGGGAAGAGAAGGGGGGGGGTGTAGTGTCATTATGAAGTGACTGATTTTTTTTAAAAGAGCAACTGAAAGAGTTTTTTGAAAGTACATATCAGATAGCTTAGCTAGGTAGGCGGGAGGGAAGGAATATATATACATATCTACATATCTATCATGGGAAATGAAAATGATGCAAAAGCAAAAATCAGCAATAAAAAGTATCAGAAGCAAAAATCAATGCTAGAGAAAAAAAAACAAATTTAACTACCCTATAGTACCAAGATTAGGGCTTCTTTCTCACTATAAATGAATTCACCAATTCCTGTTAGCGAATTACAATTAGAGGTCATTCATCCTAAGTACTAACTCAGCCTTCCATTTGAAAAATGAGTCAAGCACTGAATTGACATACACACATGAAGATTTTCAGAGTTAATTTCACACAAGGGTAGGCCCTACTTTCAACAAAAGTAGTATCTAAAAGTTCAAATGCTACAACTAATGTGCAACTGAGATAATAAAAGAATAGTTAACCTCATAGAATACACCAATATAAAATTCTATTCTCTACTATCTTTCTAGTCATATTCATTGCTTGGTCACATATCCTAACCATGAAAAATCATCACATACTTGGTGTTAAACAATTCTAGGCTGAACTGGCAACTCTCTATGTCATTCTTATTTGTGTTCCAGTACGTAAACTCACCTATGTACGAATATAATATTATATATTAAGCTGCATTTGTGTGTTTATGCCAATTTAACCTATACTTGAAAAGAGATTAATAAAATTAATCTGTATAGGCTGAAAAAGTTCACCATATCTTTCAAGTTATCCCTTAGCTCCTTTCCTCTACTTAACATTAAAAAAGTATCTATAAAGCTCTGAATGTGCTGCCTTGACCTGAAAAAGATATCATCATGAAAGCCGAAAATAACAGTGGAATTTTAAAAGAAACCATCATGCAAAATCCACTCTGCTCCAGCCCCCATCAAAATTAACTCAATTCAAGATTCATTCAAATGTGCATGAATGTCCAGATGTTATTGGTGTTACATTTTCTTGTATTTCATCCTGGTTTATCCTATCTGGTCACTGTTGGCCAGCTTTATATAATGAATTTCAACTCACCTGTGGTCAAATGCTTCATCTCTGCATCAAACACCAGCAAGTCTTGTTCACCTTCCCTGAACTCAACATGCAGAATGTCACTAAGAGACCCAACAAGCTCTGCCACGTTTAAAAACCCTAATCTCTTCGGTGAAAGTGGCTCTTTAAAAACTGCCTGTCATCAAAAAAATTTAAATTAAAATGAAAGGAGGAAAGAAACTGACGTAATCAATTAATAAGCACTAATTAAGCCAGGCCCTATGTTAAGTGCTGGTAAACAAAAACAATGAATGAAACAATCTCTAAGCTCAAAAAAGCTTACATTTAATACACACAGACACATAGACACAGACTAAAAATAATTACAAAGAAACTAAATACAAGGTAGTTTGAAGTGTAGGGCACTAGCAATTGAGATTAGGAACAGCTGAGTTGTGTGAATTGGGTCTTAAAAGAAGAGAGGGATTCCATTAGGCACAAGTGAAGAGGAAGTAACTTCCAGGTATAGAGAACAGCCTGAGAAAAGGCATGGAAGCAGGAGAGAAAGGGTCATGTTTAAGGAAAGAAAGAGGAACAGTCTGGCTAGATCAGAGTGTGAGAGATATGACTGGAAAGACACGTTGGGCAGGGTTATAATGGTATTTAAAAACTAATCACAGAAATTTATATTTGATTCTAGAAGCAAAAAGAAGCCACTAGAGCTGGAGTCATAGTCAGATCTGCATCAAAGACCAGAAGTGTTTTTCCTTAAAACACTTTAGCAGCAACGTGAAGGATGAAGTCTGGAAGAGACCTGGGGCAAGGAAACAACACAGGGCACTTTGCAGTAAGCTATACAAAAAGGTGGTAGTGTTGTAGAGGTAGAAACGGCAAACTTTGGCAAGTGATTGGATGTGTAGCGTGACAAGTGAAGAGTCAAGGTCATGAGCCTGAGAGGTTAGAAGAAAGTGGCACCATTGAGAGAAATAAGGAAGTAAATTTAGAGGAAAAGATGAGTTCAATTTTTGACATGTTAAGTTTGAAACGTCTCCAACAATCCTGGTTTTAAATAATAGTAATAGCTAACACTTACATAACAGTTTAAAGTTTAGAAAGTACTTTACAAATACTATCTCATTTTATCCTCACAACAATTCTAAGAGGTGCTATTTTTAATCTCCATTTTACAGATGAAGAAACTGAGTCAGACAAAGAGCAAGTGATTTGTCCCTGGTCACACTGTTTCTGAGGCTGGATTTGAACTCAGACCTTCCTGATTCCAGGTCAAGTGCTCTACAGGAATGCTGGGAAGAGACTTGAAATGGATACATAGATGGGAAACATCAATATAGAAACTATAACATACCCACTCTCTCATTTATCTTCAATCTCTCCCTGTCTACTGGTTTCCTTAATGCCCAGAAACATACCCATGTCTCCCCATTTTCAAAAAATCTCTTGCTCCAGCCATCCTCAACTTGAACAAGCCATGTACAATCAATATCTCTACCTTTCCCCTTCCTCTCTTAACTGTCTATACCATCTGGCTTCTGACCTCATTATTCAACCAAAACTGCTCTCTCTAAAGTTACCAATGAATTCTTAATGGTCTTTTTTCAGTCCTCATCCTTCTTGACCTCTTTGCAGCCTTTGATACTGTCTTGATACTGTCTTCTCTCTAGGTTCTCCTATCTGATTCCTTCTCAGTCACTTTCTCTAGATCTTTTTCCAGGGTATGCCCACTAACAGTAGGTTTCCTCCAGGGTTCTGTCCTGGACCCTTTTTCTCTTCTCCCTCTAAACTATTTCACTTAGCAAGACCATGAGCTCTCATAGATCCAATTATTATCTCTATGATGATGATTCTCAAATCTACAAATCTAGCCCTAACCTCCTCCTGACCTTGTCTTACATCTCTAACTACCTATAGGAGATCTCAAACTCAATAAACCCCAATGAATTCATTATCTTTTCACCAAAATCCTCTCCTCTTTTTATCTTCTCTTTACTGGTGAGAGTACCACATCCCCCCAAGTCATTCTGGCACACACATAAGTGTCACCCTTGACTCCTCATTCTTTCCCCTCCACATCCAATCTGTTTCTAAGTCCTACTGATTTTACCTTTGTAACATCTTTCACATACCTTCCCTCTGTTGATGTTCTCCAGTTTATCCTATATATATCTTATTTGTACATAGTAGTTTGTAGGGACTGTCTTTAGCCTCTCTGTATCTCTAGGGCTTAACCTCATGCCTGACATAAAAGGTGCTTGTTAAATGACTGGTGGGATAAACTTGGTATGTTTGAACTCAGTAAGGAAGGAACCAGTAGACAGGGAAAGGCTAAAGATCAGAAAGAGGTTGAATCAGAAAGAATGCGGTTGCAATCTACTGGAGATGGGAGGGGATAAGATCAAAAGCATATGTAGAGAGAGGCTGGCCTTGGCAAGGTTGGCCACCTTACTGTCAAAGACTTAGTAAAAAGAGCAGAGAAACTGAACTTGAATAACATGAATTTCGAGTGTCCCATCAGCAGGGTTGCTTGACTTCTTCTAGATCCATTATCAGGGAAGTAGATAATGGGAGTAATCCAAGGCCGAAGTTTGGTAAGGGATGAGCTGTGACAGAGAACGAGGGACTGGAGAATACAGGACTGTGTAATGCTGAATTGGCTAACTACTGGGGAAAGACTGACTAAAATTACTGAGGGGGTGGAGGGACTAGAGATCTGGATAAGGGCAAAGAATGAGATTAGGAGAGGTGAGGCAATGGGAAATATGAAATATTAGAAGTTTACAATCAAATATATAAGGTCAGAGTTTTTGATTAAAGAAGCTGAACAAGGAAACATGACCCTAGGCATTTCTGGGAAATCACCAGAGAATCACCAGACTAAACTAAAAAATGCTCACTAAGATAGGGTGTTTTAGTTACTGGCTTAGTGCATTAAAACTGATAGTGCCTCAACAACTGACACACTAACCTGAAAATATTTTTGTGGCCATGAGTAGGTAAAAATATTAGAGTTTTATTATTAAGTAGCCCTATGTACAAGAAGTTTGAGATTTGAATAAAATGCCAACAAAAGAGGAGGAAAAAGCAAACAAAAAAAAGTTCAACAAGGTTTTCGTAAAACCTTATATATGTGATATACATCTTATTATATTATATATATATATGTATCTTTTGCTAGATAATATTTTCCACCACATCCAATATAAAGGAGAGAATTAATATTTATCCTTTGTCACAACCATGGAACATCTCAAAGAGTTTACATCTAAACTCAACAACCTCAATACTGATATTCAAACTGTTCAAGTTGGGTCTCTTTTTTACTCCATTTTGAAAACATATACTCCTGGTATGATCTTAACAATTAGTAGTATTTTAAAAAATTATCTTCCATTAACACATTTAAATATTGGTGTTCTCAGATCTTTTTTATTTCTACAAAGAAAACATTAAGAATGGAAAAATAGTAAAAAGTAATAGGAAATGGGTCATATGAAATGAGTTATATGAAAATGTACATATACATGTAAATTGTCATCAAGTGTTTTAAGCAAATTAACTCATTTAACCTTCATAACAATCCTAGGAGGTAGATATTACAAATATTATCCCATTTTATGAATAGGGAAACTGAGGTTTGTGGGCATTAGGTGACTTGTCTAAAGTCACACTGCTAGTAAGGCATATAGATGAAACTAACTCAGGTCATCTGAGTCAAAGTACATAGCTCTTTCCACTGTTATTACACTGCCTTAATGACATGATAATTAAACTACCAAAAGAAAATTAAGGCAAACTGGACTACTAGTGGAGAAACAGAATAATTTCTAACTCTCTCTAGGAAGAGAAACTTTACAAGGCTCTAACTGGTACAAGAGAAAACAAAATTCTTACCTCAAACTCTCCAAGCAGCTTAGAAATAAGCAATCCTTGCGGAAATTTGGATGCAACCTAGAGAAAAGAAAATTTACATTTAGAACTTTGGCAAGAATTAAAAATACATAATTATTCCTAAACAAGATTAGTAGCCCCAGAGGCTTCAGAAACTTGAATATTTTCAGCTTTTGTTAAATCTTGCTTAACTTTTGGGAGATATGTACAGAATATTTTAAGGCAAAAGGACAGACTGTATACATATATGTGAAAATTTCTTAAAAATTATCTAAAACAACTTCAGTAAAATGCCGGTCATGTTGGATGTCTTGGACCCAGAAGTGACACAATTTGGTGATAGAAACAATGTCAAGGAAGCAAAAGAACAACAAAAATGGAAAATAAATGGATTTCATCCTATATCTTCCAGAACTTCTCTGCCTCCAAAGCAATTTGTTTGGTGCCCACCAGAAATTTTACATACTTCTCCAAGTTGAATAGCATTTTTTCCACAATATTTGAAAATACTGGACATTCCTTAGGAATAATCACTCAACAAGTGCCTCATATGTACCAGGCATTGTGCGAGCACCAGGGTTACATAAAAAGAAAAGGGAAACAGTCTTTGCCTGGAGAGTTCCTAGAGGAACTTGCATTTTGTTGGCAGAAAAAACACATCTATAGATTCAAACAAAACAGATGCAGGGTAATATTAGCTAAGGTGGTCACTAGCAGCTGAAGGTTATCAGGAAAAGCTTCATGTAAAAAGGTGCTGTTCAAGCTGCATCTTGACAGAAAGTCGGCACAGAAAGCTGGGATTCTACAAGGCAGAAACAAAGAAGTGCATTACATGCATGGGGCACAGACAGTACAAGGGCCCCGAAACAGGAAATGGAATGTTATACCCAAGTAAAGTAAGTAGGTCTGTGCACCAAGTGAGAGGCTACAGAGAGCAGAAAAGGGGACCCAGGACACAGCTTGAAATGCACGTGAATGGATGATCCAGCAAAGGAAAATGAAATGGAGTAGTAAGACAAGCAGGAGATCCAAGAGAGAATAATGTCACAAAAACCCAAAAACCCTGGAGGAAGAGGATCCAGGAGAAGGTGGTCAGATCAAATAATGAAGAGGGACCAAGGAAGAGGCTTAAGAAAAGGCCATATAGATCTGACAATTAGTAGATCACTGATAATTCTGGAGAGAGCAGTTTTGATTGAGGGGTGAGGTCAGAAGACAGACTGCAGAGGTTCAGAAGATAATGAGGAAATACAGCCAGTAAACACAGACAGCCTTTCCTTAAGGTTTAGCTGAGAAAGAAAGGAAAGCTGTAAGATGAGAGTTTGAGGGGACGGCAGTGTCTAGTGAAGGTTTTGTTTTTTTAAAGATTGAAGGAGGCTTAGGTTTGTTTAAAGGCAGTTGTTCACTCATTTCAATCACGATCAACTCTCCATGACCCCATTTGGGGTTTTCTTGGCAAAGATACTGGAGCAGTTTGCCATTTCCTTCTCCAGCTCATTTTACAGATGAGGAAACTGAGGCAAATAGGGTTGAGTGACTTGCCCAGGGTCACACAGCTACTAAGTGTCTAGGGCCAGATTTGAACTCAGGAAAGTGAGTCTTCCTGACTTCAGGCCCAGCACTCTATGCACTGTGCTACCTAGCTGCTCCCTTTGAAGACAGTTATGTAAGTAAATTCATTGGGAGGGGACCTTACCTTTTGGAAAGAATAACTATATGGGAGCCTTATTATTCCCTTCAAAAATGGGAACATAAGGGGGCAGCTAAGTGGCGCAGTGGATAGAGCACCGGCTCTGGATTCAAGAGGACCTGAGTTCACATCTGGCCTCAGACACATAACACTTACTAGCTGTGTGACCCTGGGCAAGTCACTTAACCCCATTGCCTAGCAAAAAAAAAAAAGGGGGGGGGGGGGAACATAAATATAAAAAAAAAGCAAAATTACTATTCTTACATGAAAATTGAAACTCATTAAAAAATGAGCAAGCTGAAGAATACTGTAAGCAAAATGCATATATTGTACACACACACATTCTCACACATACATACATATATATATATATGTGTAATGGAATAGAAGGGGAAAGGCACTGAAAGTGATGAAAATATATACTAAAAAAATTCTAAATTAATATAAACAAAGTAAGAAATCCCAAAAGGCTCAAATGGTTAATAAAAGTTCACATTTATATTCTACTTTTAAGCTCTGCAAAGCATTTATTTTGAGCCTTACTACAACCCTGTGGGAGATAGATAACTAGTATTTTCCTCATTTTAAAGATGTGGAAACTGAGAATTTAAATTGAAAAAAGTCAGAATGTAAGCTCCTTGAGAGCAGCGAACATTGTACTCCCAAGCCCTAGCACAGGGCCTGATATGTAAGAGGTACTTAATAAATGCTAGTTGTACGAACGAAGTTCAGAGGTTAAGTGACTGGCCCCAGGTCAAGCCAAAATTCAAACCTATGTCTTGATGTCCAGTCCAATGCTCTATTTTTAACACTGCATAGCCTCATCTGGGTAACAGACATATGTACGAAATTAAGTAACTAAAATATTTTAAAAATGACAAGAGAACATAGAAAATATAAACACAGCTAAGAAATAAAGGGAAAAATTAAATGAATTAAGAAATTTGATGAGATTACGGCAAAATCCATCAAAGCTATCAAAATAACATGAATAATTTTAAAACATGGACAAAACTTAAAGCAGAAAAAATATAGTAGAAATAATGGCAAATGTTTTGGGAACAGAAATACTAGCTCAAGGGAAAAAACATGGAAAAGATTTGAAAGCATGGTACATAAAGCAACAGATCTAGAAGACTGATTCCCACCCCCCACCACGTTGCCCATTACATATATTTCAGGAAATCATTCAAGAAAATTTATGAGAATAAAAAATGGGTGACGTATTACAAACTGAAAGAAGTACTCTACAAAGGAAAAAATTAGAACACAACTCACCCAGAAGATCATTGCTAAACTTCAAAACCAAAACACCAAGAGAAAATACTCTAGGAAAAAGATTCCATACCAAAATACATTAGTCAGAATCACACTAGATTTTCCTATAAAAATTATAAATGGTTGAAAAAAAGTTGGGACTCAATATATGTAAAATTAAAAAACCCAGACTTAGATCCCAGGACGTTTCCTAGCAAATCTAAGCATTCTGTTGGAAGGCAAAGGGTGAACACTGAAAAATGCAAAGGACTCAAAGAATTAATACAGAAAAACCCCCAACAGCAAAAGAATTTTTGGAACAAAGCTGGAGAGATAGCCAAGATAGTTAACCATTTTGAACAAGAAGAGCACAATTGCAGTGGTAGCTGCTGGAGTTGGAATCAGAGATGGGTTTGAATTATAGCTCTGCAACTTATGACCTCTGTATGACTGAGCACATCACTCTGGGCATTCGGTAAAATGAAAAATCAGAATATTATTGTGCAGTAAGAAATTACAAATCACATGTTGCTTTCTCCTTAGGCTGTAAGCCCCTTGAAGGCAGGGACTGTTTTTGCCTTTATCTGTAACCCCAAAGCTTAACCACAGCGTCTGGTACGTAGAACGCCATTTAATAAATGCCTGTTGACTTGCTGAAATAAAGTGACTGAAATGGTCATACCTTCTGACCCAGAAATAAGTGTTACTCTTGTTCGGTTGTTTCTGACTCTTCACGACCCCATCAGAGGTTTTCTTGGCAGATACTGGAGTGGTTCACCATTTCCTTCTCCAGTTCATTTTATAGATGAGGAAACTGAGGCAAACAGGGTTAAATGACTTGCCTAGTGACCCTAATAAGTGTGTGAGGCTGGATTTGAACTCAGGAAGAGTCTTCTTGACTCCAGGCCTGGCTGTCTATCCACTGTACCACCTAGCTGCTTTGGGGAGGTGGGGGAGAGGGAAGGATAGAAGGAGGAAAGGGGAAGAAGAGGAAGAGGGAGACAGAGAGACAGACAGACACAGACACAGACACAGACACACACACACACACACACACACACACACACGCATACTAGGCATGAACTAACCCCACTGCCCCACACCTAGGTCACTGAGAAAAAGAAAAGTTTCTATACATATGAAAACATTTATTGCAGCGCTTTTTGCGTAGCAAAGAACTGGAAACAAAGCAGATGTTGATATACCAAGGAATTGCTAAACAAATAGAGCGCATGAAAGTAATCAAATATTACAATGCTGTAAGAAATTACATTTATGATATGAACAGAGGCATGGAAAGACTTAAATGAAGAAAGTAAAGTAGAACCAAGAAAACAATATACACAATGACTATGGCAACACACAAATGAAAAAATAATCACCACAAAACAATCAAAAGTGAGTGCTGCAAAATTACAAAGAACAAGCATGGCCTCAAAAGAAAGATAAAAGATTCACTTTACTCCATTGCAGAGATGAGAAACCTAAAGGTGTGGAATACTGCATATATTTTCAGATTTTTTGGTTGTTGTTATAATCAATTTTGCTGGTTTTTTTTTCTCTTTTCTTTTACTATTAAGAATATTTAAGACATTCCTTGTTATACAAAATGACTTTATGGGAGATACAGAGGAGGAATGTTGGGAAATTTGGGCAACAAAAAAAAACTTTATCAACAAAATATACTTTTAAAAAGAGTATGGAGAATAGGACAAATGTTACACTGATTTTCAAAAAAGAGAAGACAGTTTGCAAACTACATATAGGCTGATGATAGCCAAGATTATGAAATAATTTTTTTAAGAGCAATGAACTAAGACCCTAACAATAATCAAGAAATGGTCTTTCCAAACTACAAAGATTTTAACATGCTTAGATTTTGCAAAGCATCTGACAAAGATCTTTCATGTTATACTTGTAGACAAGACATCAAAATGAGGGCTCAATAACTTTACAGCGAGGAGGACTGAGAACAGATCAGACTTTGTTAAACTCCCTTATTTTATCGATGAGGAAACTCTGGCCTAGATATGTTCAATTTGATTTTTAAGTACCTGTTATATGCAAGGTACTATTGGTAAACAGCGTCAAATGCTACAGAGAGCTCAAGAAGACTAAGAACTGGGGCAGCTACGTGGCACAGTGGATAGACCAAACACTTGACACTAGCTGTGTGACCCTGGACAAGTCACTTAACCTCAATTGCCTTAAAAAAAAAGCCACCAGATTCAGTATTTAAACATTGGTCAGGAATAATGAAGAATGTAGTTTTTGCTGAGAAAGGGAGATCAGAGAGAAAAGTAAGTGGGAAGGCAAGAGACAGAAACCAGAGTATGGGTGACTTGTAGGAATATGGCTCAGAAAAAGATGCGAGATGATAGCTAGAGTTGGTTGGATCAAGTGAAGGCGTGGGTTTTTTTTAAAAGGACAGTGTAGACCTTTCCAGGTTTACAGACAGCAAGGAAGGAGTCAGTAGATAGGAAGATATTGAAAATGAGACAAAGAGCATTTGAATGAAGGGTTCAGCTCCAAGAGCAAACAGGAAGGGATAGAATCAAGGTCACAAGTGGAGAGGTTTGGTCTTGTTGAAGAGAAAGGCCACTTCTTCCTTAGATTAGAGTAAAAGAGGAGAGAATGTTAAAATGCCGAGGTGTAGAACAGCAGATATGAGGGAACTCATAATTTTAAGGAGTATATTTTCTCAGATAATAAGTTGATGTGAGGTTCTCTGCTGAATGGAAAGGTATAGCATAGAACACTTGAGGAAAGAAGTCTGGAACAGTCATGGGAAGAAGGAGGTCAATTTGCAACAGAGTCCATTAGGGAATAAAAAAGGATTGTGGCATAACACTCAGGACCCAGTTGAGGCTGAGTAATATAAATCTATAACGAAGTCAATTGGCTTGGTTGTCGCATAACCAGTCATATTCTACAGCATGTGTGGAGAAGCAGGGAAGGTGAATAGTAGGTGTAACCCAAGTTTAAAGAATGAGCAGTGACAGAACAAGGGGAAAAGGAATTTGAGAGTATAAGTGAGTGAGTAGTTGAACTGGTTAACTATGGGGTCAACATTTTCAAGGGAGGAAAATAAGACCAGAGTTGAGGTGATGGATGGGAGGAAACTGAGTTAACTGGAGGTCTTGGAGAAGTCACAGAATAGGCATAGGAAAAGTGAGGCATAGGGAGACATGTGGACAGAAAAAGTAAATCCAGAGTCCTCAAGCAGAAGAACAGTTATAAAAGATGAAATCATGGGTGTGACCATGTCTATATATGGCAAAGATGGTGGGAAGATCTTGGGAGTTGAAGAGAGACTGATGAATTAGAAGGCTAGGGTTTCTAACAAAGCATCAATTGGTCAGCTGAAGTTCTTGAGTACAAAGGGGCAGAGAAGAAGACTGTAAATCACTTTCTGAACTCCTTGAGAAAGGAACAAGAACAACTTGTCTGATGTCACAAAGACAATCACTAACAGTACTCTATTATTCCCAGGTCCTCAGATTATAAATCCAGGGCTCTTTTACTACACCAGTCTCTCCCCCTCCCCCAAATCCCATTGCTCTTGTATATTTCTCAGAAGTATAGAACACTTACAAATTTTATTTTCTTCTTCAGTTCTGAACTGATGGTCCCTCCTGGTCCAATTTGTGCAATCACTGATTTGAATGTATTTTCCAGCTTCAAAAAATAAAAAATAAAACTATGGTGTCAAGAAGATGGTAAAAAGGTTAAATGCAAAGAAGATACAAAATGACATTTCTTTTATTTAAGCAAATTCACTTTTCAACAGAAATCAATAAGCAAGTTAAGATACATTCAAGTATTATTCATTTATTTAAGGTTTATAATCAAAAATATTCTTACCTTAGAATTTCCCATCATAATCAATGCTATCTTCTATAATGGTACTAATGTTAGTCAGGTGGAAGAGTCTTCACTTTACTCATTATATTTACCTAGAACTTCGTAACTTCTTATAGTAATTCTTACTGAACATTGTCAGTTAGCTTGCCAACACTTTTTTAAGCTAGGAGGAACTGTCCGAACCACAGTCTCTCTAGCATCCCAATGTTGCAATGAATATTTCTGACAGCAGAATGGATTTCCATTTTTCAACGTTATTTTTGGCACTAAGTGAAATGTCTTTAACAATCTATCACCATACACCACACCCTGAAAGAAACTTTGTTTCTTTGAGTTTTATGTTAAGATGACTTTAATGGCATTTATTTTCAATACGTACTCATAATTAGATCAGAATTAGTAAAGGTTTAGGGATTCCAAGGCACTTCCACGTGAAAAATTAGTCTACTTATCCCTGAAATAACTAAACAATTTTAGTTTTAAAAATCTAAAACTGTTTTTATTGTACAGCTGGCATGTATTATATTTAAGAGGCAAACAATGGATTTTTTTTAAAGCATTATCACCTCCAAAGTTTCTCACCTGGTTTAATTTCTCAGACTGATCCAAAGAAGATGTCTCCATGCCATTCAATTCTGCAATTTTCACTGCATGTGGCTGATTCAGTGGCTCAGTAGTTGAGACAGGTTCTGGCAAATGTGTCCTTACTATAGGTGTTGACATGGAGGATTTGGGTTGTTTCATTCCAACCTGTGATGTTTTACCTTACATGTATAAAAGAGAAGTGAAAAAATTCTTACCAAAAGCCAACCTTATTGACTTAACATACTTTCAAGAAATTGACCATTAATACATCACCACAATCTCCTTACCATCTTAATAAAATAAGATTAAGAGAAAGGCTATCAACTACTCAAAATATGAAAGAAATTATTCCATTAGATTCCCACTTGTTTAGTGGGATTTACTTCAACTATAATAGTGACAGGCAACCTTCATTTTAATGAGATTGCATTATAAAGTAGAAAAAACATTGGACTGAACATTGGATTCAGCAGTCTAAACACCTGAGATCCAACTTGACTACTGGCTGAGTCCCTCTGGACAAATGATTTACATCTTTGAACTTCAGTTTCCTCATTTATAAAAGAGGATAGATAAGAATACCTACGCTATGCATATGAAGATAAAGTGGCTTAGATCTCTCTCACCTGACTAAAGGGGTTAACTTAACTGGGCATTTCTTCCCATAGCTCTATTCATACCCCAAAGCAGTGTCCCTGGTGGCAGAGAAAAACCTTCCCTCCCTGTCTTGGGATACACATTCGATTGGGGTTATCAGGGTGCCAGGACAAAAGTCTTAGATTCAGAGTCAGAGGATTTGGGTTTGAATGAGTTTGGCTGCTAATTTGTCTTTCCAGCATAGGAAAAAGTAAGTGTGTTCTCCTGCTAGATCTTACAAATCTACCTTTCAAGGATCTTGTGAGGGTCAAATAAAAATCTATACAAAAATCACTTTGTAAACCATTAAGAATCATTAAGTATTATTATACTACAAATGATACTGGAGTTCTTCAGGTACCATAAGCAGTGACACTATGAAAACGAGATGGGCTAGAACACTGACGCCAGCAGATAAAATAGTGTTTTAGATGATAAATGTATGTTATATCTACTAGGTCATAATAAGTCTGTGGAGACTTAACCTTCAACTACACTGATTTATTTTTTAAAAGAGGTATATGAGGAAAAAAAAATCTGAATTTGCTACCTATGCTCACACTCTTACCTGCTGGTAACCCCCTCTTCTGCTCACTTGGTAGATTTCGCTTTAAGGTCAACAAAGAACCTGCCCTGGTCTGCTCAACAGCAATGATATCTGAAGCCGCACTAAGCACTTCAAACATAGAAAGAAATCCATATTGCATGTACTGGAACGATCGTCCAAATCGCTTCGCAAAGGCCTTTTCAAAATCAGAAAGGAGTATTGGAGAAAAAGCCAAGAGGTCCCTTAGCTCACTCTTTACCACAGCTGGAAGAATGGGGGGTATCCTTCCCCGGTAAGGTAGTCTCCGACGAGGACCAGAACTAGAACCAACATTTGCTCTTCCTTTCTGTGTGGAATTTCGAAGTTTGTTACTACTCCTTTGTTTTGCAACCAAACTTGCTATTCCTTTGGTTGTTTCATCTGGAATGGCTAAAAAAAATGGAAGAAAAGGGTACATTAAGACTGCAGTTCCTCCTTGAGCTCCTTATAGACATAACCTTTCATTTTGACACTAGTTAATAATTTGTGTGTGTACATGTATGTGTATATATCATATACTATCTTATACATACATATATACATGGTATATATTATATATCACATGTACATATATATCTATACACATATACATATGCAGTTTTTATACTGCCTGGTGTTTTAATTTGAACTTGGGATGGTCCAAATGATTAAAAAACAAAATTGAAGCCAGAAAAGTCTTTAGGGATTATATCTAGGCTTTTCCCTTCTTCCCTTACTTCCTGCTTTTTGTTTATTTCAAGATTAACCTTTCCAGTGGATAGAAAGGAGAAGCAGAAATATTGCTTATTAACTCCTAGAAGATTTGAAACCCATGTAAAATGATGATATTTATCAATATTATTTCTCCAGAGATCTAAATATTAGAGGCAATACAGTATAAGTGATGGATGTGGCAGTGAGTAAGACCTAAGTTTGAATCCCACTTCAGACATTTAGTAGCTCAATGATGCTGGACAAGTCACTTAACTTCTTGGGGCCCCAGTTGCCTCCTCTGTAAAATCAGAGAGTTGGACTTGATAATCTCAAAGATACCTTCCAACTCTAAATTTGTACTCCTATGAATCAGAACAGAACTGAATTTGAATCTTGGTGGTGAACATTTACCAGATGTGTGACCCTGGGCAAGCCATTTAATATCCCTAAGCCTCATTCTTCTTAATCCGATGCCTCATTCATTGGAGCACGAAGTGACCCGTGGTTCAGAAAGTCCATGCCAAAAGAAGGCAGATTCTGTCTGGCTTCTAATAGCATCTCAGTAACAGAAGGCATCTGTTTTTGAGGACCAGATTAGCTAAATAGAAAAATGCTCATCATCACTGTTAGATACCTGATGATAAATTTTTTGGACATGACAACCAAATGAAGAAAAAAGCAAAATAAAAATAGCTCTTAGTTATGTGCATGCTCTTTCCCAACTTCTGCTTCTTCAATGACAGTGATAAAGTGAAGGAAATGAGGGCAGAAGCTGCTAAGAATTATAATTTTTAGACCATCTATAAAAATTAACTTAAGGTGAGAACCTTCTCCAATGACACATTATAAGAAATGAATTTCATCAACTTTGGCTTTCTTGCTATAAATGAAACCAGAAGAGAGGAAAAATAAATAAGATGTCAGAGGTGATTTTATCATCCTTCCAAAGGTATCTGAGACATTTCATTTCCTATCAGAGTTTTCATACTAACTACTTTTCTCAATGCAAAAGTAGGAATAAGTGGACAGAAAAAAATACACTGGAAAATATGGCTCAGGAGTAAGAAGACAGGCCAAGGATTGTAGACAACACACAAGCCTCACCTCTATACACCATGAATACTTTATTTGAGAAAAGAATAACAAGATGTTGGACATGGTAAGCACCAAGGAACATAACAAAAATGATATTGATTATTGATAGGAAATAACTTGTTACTGATAAAGGAATTATTCTTGAATCAAGTGTCTGTGTAGAGTCAGACCACAGGCTTGTTAAAGCAATGATTAAAATACAAAACTAGAAGGAATAAACATGAGAAAAAGATAGGAAGTACAATTACAGTAATTTCAGCTTGACCTATTTACACAAGTTCTTGATGTAGTTAGCTGGGAAATTCATGGAGGAAAGAACAACAACACAAAAATCATAATAATTTCACACAGAAGTTCAACAGACGTAAATAAATTGCTGTTAATGACCAAGAGTCTAAAAACCATCTTAATCAGAAAATATTTGACTTAACTTGTCAAGTAGAAAAGATAAGATAATCAAGAGCCAGCACCAATTAAGAATATAAACTAACTTCTAAAATCACATGGAAAAGAATGGTGGAAGATCTGAGCACAGTGTTGCCTCACAAAACAGAAGTAGTGGAGAGAAGAACCAGTGATAGGGCCTGTTCTGAGAGAACTTAAGGATGAAACTGGAAGGAGGTCAAAAAACAAAAGATTAAAAAGATCTACAACGATTTTTCTCATCAACTTTCAACATCAAGGACAGTGGAGCTAAAGGACATTTGGACTTCACAAACAGTTCTGGTGTGCATACTATGGGAGAGGATAATGGGACTGAAGAGACTACAAAGATAGAAAAAGCAGCTGGCCCAAATCACCTGTACATACAGGAGGTCAGTACTAGACAATTTTAAACATGTTGCAGAAGGCACAGTAAGAAAGGCATGCAAAAAATCTAGGAACCACCAAAAAATAAGACAAAGAACATCAATAACTACCAAACCACGTGTCTACTTCTTCTAGAAAATTATGACAATAATCTACACATGCACCAACGTCAACCTTAGCAGGGGATGTCAGAAAAAGAGGCAAATTTTCGAAAGAAATATTCATTGCATCACATCATTACTATCACACAACTAACTGAGATGTATAGACATGCAGCCAGGTGGCACAATGGATATCGAGTGCCAAGCCTGGAGTCAGAAGACTCGAATTCAAATCTGGCCTCAGACACTCAGTAGCTGTGTGACCCTGGGCAAGTCACTTCACCCTGTTTGCCTGTTTCTTCATCTGTAAAAAGAGCTGGAGAAGGAA